TTGTGAATGAGATCCAGTGGTCACAAATCAATGCCCAGTATTGATCCTACTACCGTGTGAACCAACTACTTTGCCAATAGCTTGGTGATATTTGACCTTGACACATGAGCATCAAGAAGTGGTGACTAAAAATTGAGCATCACCACTCAAGAGACCCTTCAAGATTTCAACCTGAATACTACCTTTACCGATTCCAGTATGTAAAGCTTTCTCGTGTTCAAAGGTCGATCCGGCAGACGCAATCTCTGTCAAAACATCAAGATAGAGCTAGTTGTGAGGGAGTGATTGACCCATTTATGAATCAGCTGAACGTGTCAAAGCAAAGGCAATACAGAACTACTTACAGTGGTCAATTTACTGCTGTAAACCCAGTTGTGATCACTGACTCTAAGTTTCAAATGAAGTAGGGGAGTCTCATCGCTGGAGCGCGCAGTCGGTTCAGCTTGCACAGGTTGAAGGAACTGACTTGATGGTCTTTGACTTCCCGGTGCGCCAGGTCCCTGTCGATTACGCACATCATGGGAAAGACCTTTGACTACCTCACCGTACAGAGATCGGATTGCCGCCATCTGTAATTTGAAGATCTTTGGTTGAGAGTTGACTAACTTGTAAAGATTCTGGATCGACTCCTGAACTTTGTCGAGATTCATCTGCGGTGATCCTCAAACCGGCAGCCATTTCCGCCACGTATTGTTCCAGTCAAGATACACCAGTTTGGTCGACTTCTCCATATACAATGTCAACTTTACAGTGACTGGTCTTCGGGGCAGTGGGGAAAGTGACTGGAGATATGAAGGATCTTAAGCAATCACAACCTCCCTGGAATCATTTCAATCAAGTGTTACTTACTATCGCGATACATAGGTGCTGTTCCGATAGCCTCACGACAGTTACTGAGGAGAATTTGTCCAAATCCCTTTGCAAGTCGGTAGCGCTCTACTTTCGATGTGTAAGTATTGTCGAGATGATTTTGCATGTATTCTAACAAAGCTGGGTTGGCTCAGTTCATGATCACCAAATACAAATAATATGATTGTGATCAGCTGAAGATCGAGATGAGGAGAGATTGAAAACCTACTTCGCCACTGATGTCCCGATCGACAGTTTGCAGACGGCCATAGATACTGCAAAGCAGAGATACGTGAGCTCAGATGAAATCGCGCGAGTTCATGAGAAGAGGAAGCGACTTACATGTCGCAAAACATCTCTAAGCAGTCTGACGAACCCAGTTCAGGATGAATTGAAATGACGGGCTTTCAATGGATCAAGGACGGGCTGGATACCTTGAATGTAGGATTCTCTATGCTCCTGGTGAATCGCATCAAGCTGGTTTTGAAAACGTTGGAATTCAAGATGTTTGAGTCCAGTCCAATCAGCTTAAATGAGATGATTGGGAAGAGATGAAGGCGATTAAGTGTATAACCTGGTCTAAATACCATATTTGAAACATAAGTTGAAAAATACAGTAATATTGTTTTGGAATCGATGAGTATTAGGGTGAATTGGATCAACTCGAACTTCAAACATTAGCAACATAAGATAAACAAATCAAATCGTTGAAATTTTTGGAAGATTGATGTGATAAAGATTTTGATTGATTGAGACCTGAATCAAAAACCAAAAAAGAGAACATCAGTTTGGGATTTCAAGGAAAATGATACAATGGTTTCGAAGAGAAACTGATGGAAATTGGTACCATGAGTATGAACTAAGTCCCTGATCACGCTCATTGATTGTTCCAAGGCTTACATGGTCTCATCACTTGGTTTCACCATTGATTCATCTGTTGATGTTTTTACAAGGTGCAGAGTGTGTGATATAATTGAAGTTTGTCCGATTAATCTTACTATTCAAATGCAATCCAAATAGTTTCGATCTTTTTGATTTGATTGATTAATGAATGAATGAATTTGTAAGAATCAACTTACAATGTCTGAAGTGATTAGCAATAAAGGATGGTTTGAGTTGATTCAATGATTTCTTTGATTTTGATTTTGATTTCATTAGATTGTTGGATTTTGGTTTGAGGAAATTTAAGAAGATCCCATTTGATTTGATCTGATACCTTAAAATCTTCATTTCTTGTTTCTATCAAATCAAAAGTTTTAGTAGTTGGTGACTGATGTCGTCTTTAAGTTTCATGATAATTGACCTTGTCTAGTGATTTCTTCTGATGTCGTAAGTAGTTAGTACTTTTGATTATTCAAAAGTTCAGATCAATCGGGTTCAAATTTGTTTGTTGTTGATGTTTCTCGAAAGTACCTTCTGTACGACTGGAACAATGACGGCAAAGAAAAGATCAGTTAGGTCCAGGAAAAGATCATATTGAAGAACCAAAACTGACTGCATTCCAATGCGATTGTTGGATTTTGTATATGTGATGGTGGTGGTATGTATCAAATCCGTGGTGGGATCTTAATCTTTCTCCTATATTGCTGTTGGTAAGGGTAGAGTCATTGGATCTGCTGAGGTTCCATTCCCACTTCAAGCGACTGGCGAGTATTTTGTGTTGAGTTTTGGCGATGGAGATATACATTTGGGGATCCGCTGGATTATAATTGGGATTGGCGACGATCATGATGGTGAATGCAAATTGAATTGCAGTGACATGTTTCTGACCAAGGACAAAACTCGAAAATCACACTAATGGTGGATTTTGTCGAGTTTTGTAAGCGAACCGTCTCTGGGATTAAATGTTATGATGATGATGATCACTCAAAAATTAATTGGGAAGAAAGCCGCCTATCAAGACACACTCTCAGCATTGCTGTTGCAGATGCAACATTGTCAAGACCGAAAAAATCCTTGATGGACCAAGTATTGGAGCCTGATAGGCACGCTGGGCAACATGACGAGGGCGTAGAGATCGTAAATGACTCATCAATGCCCCCGCAATGTGAGTATTCCTTGCATTCTATTACCTTATGTGAAGAAACCAGTGGCAAGCTTAAACATCATTTAGAAAACCGTACCCTCAACAAAGCAGTCACGTCCAACAGCAAACCCCAAACAGAACCACCTGCAGTCATTCACGAGATGACTTTGTCCAATCCGCCAATCACCTCAAAAGACTACGAGTTGGAACTAATGAGGGAAGCTAGGAATTGTGACAAGGGGGTAGAGATTGTAAATGACTTGCTAATACCCCCGCAGAGTGAGTCTGTCATTGCCCAATCAAATGCCTCATGTGAAACAATGAAAAAGCAATTCTCTCTTCCACCGGGAAAACTTTCTAGATTGGCAACACAATTACCTCCACAAGCACCAACAAGACGCCTATACTCGCAAATAGCCTCAAAGCAACAACCGTCGCTCTCACACATCAACAAAACGTCTGCGTCGTGGAATTTATCTGCTAAACTCAATCCGGAGATTGCACTGAAAGCACCAACACAACCGGCAGCTGAACTGGTCCCTGAATGTTACCATGCGTACCTTGACATATTTGAGAAAAGCAAGTCCAATGTCCTCCCTCCACATAGACCCTATGACAATAGGTGTGGACCTATTACCTGGAACAACCCCTCAGGCTGGACGAGTGATCCCTTTGTCACCCAAAGAAAGCGGGGTATTAGATGAAATGCTCAAACGAGGCTTAGAGAACGGAACAATACGTCGTACCACTTCCCCATGGGCAGCTCCTGTATTGTTCACTGGGAAGAAGGATGGCAGCCTTTGACTGTGCTTTGACTATCAAAAACTAAATGCAGTAATGGTAAAAAATCAATATCTGTTACCATTGACAATGGAACTAATTGACAGCTTGCTTCATGCTGAAAAATTTACCAGTTTAGATATGAGAAATGGATACAATAATTTACATGTAAGAGAAGGTGAAGGAAAACTAGCTTTTATCTGCAAACAGGGTCAGTTTGAGCCTCTCACAATGCCTTTTGGTCCCACTGGAGCCCCCGGTTTCTTCCAGTATTTCATTCAGGACATACTCAAATCTCACATAGGACGAAATGTAGCAGCATACCAAGACAACATTCTCATTTATACAAGACCTGGAGTTGATCATAAAGCCGCAGTAAAGCAAGTCCTGGACATCCTCAAAGCGCAAAATGTATGGCTGAAGCCGGAGAAATGCAAGTTTTCAAAATCAGAAATAGCTTACCTAGGGTTAATAATATCTAAGAATCAAATCAAAAAGGAAGAAACTAAAGCTAAAGCAGTTAAGGACTGGCCAGCTCCAAAAAATCTAAGTGAAGTTCAAACGTTCATAGGCTTTGCAAACTTTTACCAACGTTTCATTGGACAATTCTCAAAGATAGCAAGACCGTTACATGAATTATCACAAAAAGACACTCCTTTTGATGGACAACTGGGCGTGAAATATCATTCAAACTTCTCAAAGACACATTTACCTCCGCACCAATACTCAAAATTTCTGATCCATAAAAACCGTTTCTATTAGAGTGTGACTGTTCCAACTATGCTCTTGGCGCTGTTTTATCTCAAATATCTGACGGCAACAGACAACTCCATCCTGTGGCTTTCCTATCTTGCTCTCTGATCAAAGCAGAAAGGAATTACAAGATCTTTGATAAAGAACTCCTAGCGATTGTTAGTGCATTTAAGGAATGGCACCAGTACTTAGAGGGAAATCCAAATAGACTAAGTGTAATAGTATACACTGATCACAAGAACCTTGAATCTCTCATGACAACAAAAGAACTAACTAGATGTCAGGCTCTTTGGGCGGAAGCATTAGGAAGTTTTGACTTTGAGATAAGATTCAGACCAGGGAAGCAGTCAACCAAACTGGACGCACTCTCGCAACGACCGGACCTGATGACAAAGGACGGGGAAAAACTCTTGTTTGGACAATTACTCAAACCACAGAACCTGCCAGCAGATGTGTTTATAGATGAACTTGACTTATTTGAATTGTGGGTAGTTGATGAACAAGAACTTAATGGCAATGAAGTGAATGAAACCACAGATGATAATGACACAGACACAAATAACTCAAGGCTGGTATGGAATGATGCGAGAATCTTAGAAGAAATCAAAAGCAAATCTGAATCAGACCCAAAAATCATTGAAATATTGAAGCTATGTAATGGAACATCATGGATGAAATTAGTCAAAGATTACAGCAAAATTAATGATGTATTATATTGTAAAGGGAAGATTGTCGTACCTAACAATCATGATCTGAAAGTTCAAATCCTCAAGTCAAGACATGATAGTCGACTTGCAGGTCACCCAGGAAGAATGAGAAAATCAGCATTAGTAAAAAGAGCTTACCATTGGAAGTCAATGAAAGCATTCGTCAACAAATATGTTGATGGTTGTCAATCCTGCCAAAGAATCAAATCAAGAACTATGAAACCATTTGAGTTTAAAGCCTCTGCCAATCCCGAGTGGACCTTGGGTTGACATCTGTTACAATCTGATCACCGATTTACCTGAATCAGATGGTAATGATAGCATACTTACAGTGGTGGACCGGCTAACTAAAATGGCACATTTCATACCTTGCAGGAAGACCATTTTGTCAGATGAATTAGCAGATATCATGATCAAGCATGTGTGGAAATTACATGGAACTCCTCAAACAATCACGTTGGACAGAGGTGATGTCTTCATCTCCAAACTTACAAAAAATATACATAAAGGATTGGGGATAACCACACAGTCTTCAACAGCCTATCACCCACAGACTGACGGTCAATCAGAAATCACAAACAAAGCGGTTGAGCAGTACATTAGGCATTTCACAAGTTATAAACAGGATGACTGGAGCTCTTTATTACCCATGGCAGAATTCTCTTACAATAACAATGATCACGTTGCCATAGGAATGTCACCGTTCAAAGCAAACTACGGCTTCAATGTCAGCTTTACAGATGTGCCTACAGGAGATCAATGTCTACTGTCAGCATAAGCAAGATTAGCTCAAATAAAGGACACTCAAAGAGAACTCAAAGATGTGTTACAATTAACTCAAGAAACAATGATCACTCAACACAACAAGAAAGTACAAGCCACCCCAAATTGGAAGGAAGGAGCAAGGGTGTGGTTGAACAATAAAAATATATCCACAACAAGACCAAATGCTAAGTTCTCACATTGTTGGCTTGGTCTGTTCACCATACTGAAGTGTATATCTGCCAACGTTTATAAACTAGATCTACCGAAATCAATGGAGAAGGTACACCCGGTGTTTCACGTAGGACTGTTGAGACAATTTGAAAGCAGTAAAATAAATAATCAGGATCAAATACCACCAGAACCTATCATAATTCAAGATGACAAAGAATACAAAATAGCCGAAGTATTAGATAAAAGATGCTAAAGAGGGAAGGTAGAGTATTTAATAAGTTGGAAAGGATATGATGCTAATCATGATTCATGGGAACCTGAGAAATCAATGGATAATGCACAGGAACTTATTCATGAATTCAATCTTAAACATCCTCAAGCAGAATCACAATACTGTAGGGTACGGAGAAAGTCATGAGGGTTAAAGCTTTTTTCCCACTGGGTTCTTAATGCTAACCCGTGGAAACATGCTAGCCCGTCAAGAGGGGGTTGAGTCATAAAAGGGGGAGTGGTGTTATGAGCCGTATAAGGCTACTCTACATATGCTTATACATGTTTGCTCTCATCTCTTGTACGCTCTTGAGCACAGACTATGATCCTCATGTTGCAATCTACTTAGTACTAGAAGGACATCTTTAGTCTACTCTCATCTCTCCTCATCCACGTCCAGTCCTCACAAAAGGCGTGCCAACCCCAATTTTGGGGATTAACTTGATGCCTACAGTTGTTATCACCAAAGCTCTCTGACTGGTTTGGCCTGGGCCGGCCCCGGTCCGACTGGTATAGGGGTTCCAATAACACCTACTTTCACCAAAAAAAACGAAAATTTGGGGGTTTCCACCAATTTTGATCTAACTTTTGTATTTTTTTGTGTTTTTTTCTGCTATATATCTGACTTAACTATGATGTTAAGTACATAGCTAGCTATGTAAAGCCATACAATATGCCTGTATTTGATGTGCATCGGTGATATGAGCAGACTCAGTTACGTACAGAGACTAGTCTATAGGATCTAAGGATGAGGGATTGGGTCTTTGTGCTGCTTTGTATCTTATAACAATGTATGATTGAATTGTACCATGAAGGGAAAGGTACAATGGATATGACGTATAACAAAGTATATAAAGACAAATGTTACAGCTATAAGCATATCCTAATAGAATGATCCAATTTGAGATCATAACAATCAGGCTCAAATCAGCCCGCGGTCCAACTGGTTGGGGTCTTAGATCAATTTTTTTTGCAAAAGTGGCTGTACAGGTCCATGAGTACCATTTCGTGGGTCCTCTACACCTGAACAGTCCAAAAATGGGCTTTTCAAGAAATATCATGTCATAAAAAATACCAAAGTACCGGGTCAACTGCCCTGATTCTTTGTGCAGGGAGCCAGTCAGAGGGCTTTGGTGATAACAACTGTAGGCACGCCGTGGCGCGCCCACAAATTGGCACACCGAAGCGTGTTTTTTGTGCCGTGCCCACAACCTGACTTTGAATACTTTTGTCAATCTGAAGAAAGTTATAGCATGTATTACATATGAATACCTTATCCTGTTGAGCAGATAACTGAGCAGAACTGTATGCACATGATAACCACCTATTCACGGAGCCTGCTACGCATATGTAGTGTGGGTGTTATGGCTCAGATGTGGAGTGATAGATCATTTTATGACAAATCATACTCCCAATCATTCTTTTCTGCCCACTTGGGGAAGTTGATAATGTTTGCAGTGATTGATGATAATTTGCCCTGATACAGTCAAACCTGCACACATGCATAACCAGCCAAAATGCATAACCAGCCAAAATGTATAAGTTTTGGCTTCCACCCAGCTGGTGTGGGCCAGCCACCAAATATCTAGTTAATTGCATAATTACAGCCATTCCAACAATTGACGGTAGAATTCTTCATTGGTGTGTTGCATCCGACTTTAATCCAAAAGTCAAAAACTAGTTAAAGCTGGCTCAAAGTGACAGGTCTCCCCAGCCTCCTTGTTCATTTGCGTGCAAAACTGGGTTTAATCCAATTTTGACCTCTGTAGATTTAACCTCTAGAGCAACACATGATCATAGAATTCTACCGTTAATTGTTGGAACAGCTGTATGTCAAAAGGACAGCACTATTTGGCAACCACTTTTATTAACCCGACACCCGGTTGGGTTTTGGTACTTATCCACGCTTTGCTCGCACAACCCGGACCTGTCTCCGCCAAATTTGGCCACAGCCACAGGCAATCCAGGCATCAAACAAGTAAACAGCTTTTTTTTAGAAAGAGGGCTCCTCACCATGAGAACCCGGGCTAAGAACACCTCCAATCAAATATCAAACCGGGCTACCACCACCTCTCTACACTTACAGCAACATTGAGCTTCAACCATCTCATCTCCTTTGAGACAAACCGTTCAAGAGCCTGGCAACACGCAATCTGTTCAATACAATACGGATCTTCTCAGTTTTGATCAACAATCAAAATTGATCTGTCCATTGGACCAACAAGGGATTCACCTCTGACTGGCAAAAACGGTATGCAGGTTTTGGTGTTGTACTTTTGTCTTGATCACAATCACCATCTCATGTTTGTTGTTTGATGGGTTGTTGTTGTTTGTGTAGGGTAACTTTTCTCTCAGTCTCAAATTCTCACGCTTGTTGCTCATGTCTTGCTCTTTATGTGTACTTACTCCCTCTTACTTACCCTTACCACTCATTTGCTTTTTATTTCTATCAATCTGTTTTATGTGTTTGGTTTTGAAACCCAAAAGTGATTGATCTCTGTGATGAACAGATCCAAGAGTTTGAGTTCAACACTTTGATTAAGGGTAAAGTTGACTTTCAATGCCAAGAGAAAATGAGACATTTGGTGAACAAATTGGTTGCGAGAGTGCAAGCATGTTTGCTGAGCCAGCCAGCGCGATTTCAAATCACAATTTCAAATTCAAACTGGGCTATATTTCAATCAAATAGGGCGTTGAATAACAGGTATCCGAAAACCGGGCATCGGGTCAAAAAAGGCGGTTGCCAAATAGTGCTGTCCATGTCAAAAATCATAATGCATACTTTTTTCACGTCCCCAAAATCTCATCACATCCCTATAAAGCACTCTGGGAAGAATGTTTTTCCATTGAACTTGAACCAAAACCTTTGCAACTGGCATTTTGGAACATCAGGCAGCCATGAGCCTTCTCTGGGATCAAACCAACCCCTTCAATTCAACCCAAATCCAGAGACCGGCTGTGGATCTCCAAGCTTTTGAATTCCCAAGATGAAACATCATTGGTCTTGGATTATGAAAGTTGCAAAGATGCAAGCAATTTCTGCAATCAAAGTCCCCAAAAGTGTCTTTTTGTACTTCTATTATTTTATTTGAATTTAATTCTTGTTGCAAATCAAGATCAAAAGCAAGATCAGGTCTCACGTAGTTTCATCTGATAGATTCTTTTGAAGGAAAGGTTTTGACCCCGTGCATCATGATGTTCAGATGTTGTGGTTATCGGCCGATTCCGTTTTTGGTAGGTGTACAGAGGCTGCAGGTGGTTCGTGTCACGTGATTTTCCCCACATATGTAGGAAATCAAACATCCCCGCGGAACGCGAACGAAAGGTGAAACTCAGTCTCCATGTCATGTCAATCTCGACACATACCTGCCGTGATACGCCTTGCGCATGCCGAAACGGATGGTTCAAAAGTCTTGTGAAAAATTGCCAACTACCACAACTGTCCCCATCGCCTCGCACAAGTCTACCCAAAATGACAATCATCCAATGCCTCTTGGTCCCGGCACTCATATGTTGTGTATATGGTCAGTTGAACCTACAAAAGAGGGATTTCAACGCTGTAGCTGTTTCTGGCCTCCCTGAAGGACACATATACGACTTGGGAGAAGCCGCTGCCCATTATGACTCAATAATTTCCTCTAGTACTCTACCAAGGCTCGGGAGCATAAGGCATGGCTCGGAGTCACAGAGAGCAGATCACTCGTACCAGAAACCGTCCATCAGTGTAACGGATTTCTCGCATAACACCGGGATTGGGGGCTACCATTGGCGTCGACGTCACCATAAAAACCGCTTTAGGAAGTCTGTAGGAGGTTTGCATTTATCACATGTTGCAATCTCTAAGTCTCCCTTGAAGCTTATGATTTATGACATATGACCAATTCTGCAACACAGCATTGCAAGTGCTCAACAGAAACCTGCTGGATAAACGGAGGGATAGAGAATATAAGGTGACACTTAGCCCAAAGAAGCAGACCGAAGAGGTTCCGAGCTCAAGCGAAAGAAATCAACATGCAGAATCAAGTCGCAAGTTAAGCGAAACAAAGAAGTATCCCTCCGGAAGGCCGAGTTTTGATTTGGAAACATCCACTGAAAGTTCGGGTGGTGGGTTGAACTTGGGCACAATGAAGAAGTTCAGCTCCGGAAGGCCAACTATGAATCTTGAAACATCGCCTGAGAGCTCCCCATCCGGCAGCCCACGAGATCATTTCTTCCACGGTTCGCCACAGCTTCCAAGAGCAGAGGAATTCAGAGATCACCACATACAAAGCCATAGTATGTAGTTTTTGGTTCTGATGCATGAAGCTTTTTCGAAGATTTCGTCTGATAAAAGATTACCTGTACAGAAACCAAAGCCCATCACAAATACCAAATGAAGGGAATGATTGATTGGTTCAAGAGTTTCAGGGATAGATTGTCTTGTAGAGCATCAAGTAGCGCCTGCCAGATCGAATAAAATTCTGATGCAACAAATCTGCACCGGGTGTTATCGTGGCAAAATTGCCACGAAAGGGGATTTATCATTTGAGGGTTGAAGAGGTTGAAAGAGAAACTCCGCTCAGGTCAACTGGATTGGTTCTTGAAACAGAATGATCTCACTTCTCATTTATTTTTTATCTTTGTCTCTCTTGATTCGATTTAGAGGTTCAAAGAAAAATAAAAAGAGAATAAGCGGCCACCGTGATACATCAACTAAATTGTCCTAGAAATTTCCACACTAGCTTTTTGATTTTTAAGAAAACGCTCCGCCAATAAATTATGGGATTGAGAAATGGTTTTGAATCGAAAACTTTGAAAAATTCACACTGTTTGAAACAGTCTTTGTAACTCTTATCTTTACTTGTATCTGATTTGTAGCAATGTTGTGAGGATGAACTCTTATCAAGCCGAAAGTCGTATACCTTCGCCATTGATTCCTGAGTGCGCAGTGTTTTCTATAGGAGACAAGTGTATTTGTTCAAGGGAATTTCCTTACTCATGGTTTACTCTTACTGTATTCGGTCAAGTGATTTTGAGACTTCGAGTCACGAGTGTTATAATTTCAACAGTTGTCCAGATGAGAAGAAAGATGCAGAGGTCAATTTACAAAGGCTATATAATGGATTAACAAAGGAGTAAAAGATTGAGTTCCGAGTGAGTGAATTTACCATAACGAGCTTCAGAATGATACAGCGCATGGACGTGATGAAATAATCGATACAATTGTCCATTGTGTGGTTGAGAAGTAGTAGCATAGTAATGTGCAATACAAATAAGTTATGAAATTAGAACAAAGGATATGGCCGATAAGAAATGATGATAGAACGAGGTGCTGCTGATTGTTCGCATTTGCACCCGCCACAGCTTAAAATTAGTTCCCGCAGACCGGGGTTGGAGGCGCAATCCCTACGCCACCCCATGGATCTGGGTAATTACAACCCGGTTGAGGTACAAACGCCTTGGCAGTGTCATTAGGTTGGGTCCAGCCGGTACCCAAAGCTGAACTGCTCACGCCTGCAATCGGAAGAGGCTTCAGGGTTATCAGCGCGCCAGTTTGCACGTACTTCGGTAGCGAAGCGGTTTGATATGAACCACCGTTCGGTGCGCCTAAAATCTGGGCCGGTGGGAAGGCAGCATAGGCACTTGAAACCGTAGCATCGATTACTCCAGCACCAGCACCCCCTGTTTGCCATGTAGCCAGCTTCCCTGACCAGGGAGAAACTACGGAAGTACCACCCTGAGCAGTCACTACGTCAACACATCTGCCGTTACTTGCCCGTGCGTCTGGCCTAAAAAAATCGGGCACCATAACAAGAAGTTAATCAACGCTGTTGTGAAAGTTGGATGAGATGTTTTCACCTGATATAACCGTTTTGAAGTCCATTCAGATAATTCCACATCGGGTTGGGAGGGTTATCCTGATTAAGAGACTTGCCGATCTTCCATGTCCAGAAGAACGAATTACGCATTGAGTCTTGCGTAGTCTGTGCTAGATCCGCGAACGCCTCCTTAGTAGCTGCAGACCACTGACGATGATCTAGCCACTGGCTGTGGACACAAGAGACGATAGATGAGTCACACGCAAGGAAGTGTAGACGAGAAAGTAGGACTGACTCGCAAGTACCCATTTTTTTAAATTGCCCGTCGGCTGTTGCTGGTGTAGGATATGTTCCTTCGTATCGAGTTCCAAAGCCAACATTATTGACAAATCTATCAAGTAGAAGAAAGTGTCAACATTTCCCGAGGAGTTTGTGAGAAAGGATCTATGTAAATCATGAATAAACTCACAAGCCGCAATCATTCACAGCCAATCTTGATGCAAGAAGGATAAAAAGGGTAAGTCATTTAAAATGCACGCGTAGATTACACCTTTCTCAATCAGAAAACTGAAGAAAAAGCTCACGAAAACTCTCCTCCCACGTTGAGGCCAAAACCTGACAGCGTCTCATTGAAAAGTGGAGCCCATTGTAGACAAGGCTTCATGGAGTTGTATCCCATACTATCCGTGTTTTGGGGACCGAAACATAGGTAGGAGTGAGTGTCCAATCCGAGCCGGTCAGCTCCAGGAAGGTATGTATCCCATCCTCTCTGGCCACCGCCAGAGCCACCAAACCCATCGTGAATAACCATGAAAGGTCCATTACCCTCGCCCACACCTCCGATCATTCGAAGAAGTTGGTAGACTTGGTAATACCTGTTGGGGTTATAGGAAAAAATACGAGTGAGATGGGCAACGTTTGCGGACGAAGCAATGCGGAGTAACGCGAGGCTTACCATGATCGAAGCGGGGCCGAGCCAATAATCGAAAGCTGAGCCTCATTCAACACAGAAAACATGGGAACTACATTCTTGTATTGTGGTTGACTGATAAACTCAGCAAGCGTCCTGATATAGTTCAATGACCTCTATGAGTCCAAACAACGCCAAAGGCATGTTTAGTGCTGTGGATATAAATTATTACTGAGGGATTCAACATACCTGAGCATTGGCGATACCCATCGCCCCGTGCAAGAAACCAATAGTCCCAAACTTCCCACTGTGATTCCATCCATTTTGGGATCCTGGTACGGCATGAAAGTCGAGATTGATCCTCAGTCCGTACTTACGAGCCCATGTAATTGCCTTGAGGAAGTATTTGAAGCATACACCTTCTAACAGGGGCTCTCCGGACCAGGTCTCCATCATCCACCATCCAACAGGAAGCCGGACCCAATTCAGACCGGCAGCAGCGATCTGGGCGAAGTCTTGCTCAGTAATAAATGTAGAATAATGATCTTCAAGGGTCGAGGCCAGAGACTTCCCGAGCTGAACGCTTAATCCCCACTCATCAACTATTGGGGTAGGAAGATTAGCATATGGTTCGAAGAGGGCGGGTGTGATGAAAGGTTCGAGGACGAGCCAACCACCGAGGTTGACACCCAAAATTCGGTTTGCAGCGTAGTCCCAACGCTCCGAGAGTGCTGGTTGGTCAGATTGCGGCCTAGCTGTGTCGTTGAAAGGTATGGCTACCCAAGTGCCGCCAAGCGTGTTATTGTAAAGGAACTTGGTACCGTCCTCGGTCTATGCTCCCATTTGATGAAAGTGAGAGTCAGATAACTGTTATATGGGCCGTCATCATATCTAAGCACGAATGGAGACAAACCGTGATAGTGTCGCCGCCCACACCCCAGAGTTTACCGCCAGTAGTTGCGCCGCCACTGGCGGTAGCTCGACTACTTCCTATACCTGTTGTAGACGCTTCATTGTTCGAAGAACTAGTGCGTGTCCCGAGAACAACTCCAATGGTGACAGCTACGGCGATAAGAAGCAAGAGAGAGATAGCGATGGCGCCGATTATTCGATGGCGCTTCCGCTGTTTTACAGCGTCTGCTTTAGTTACGACAGCTTGGGCAGGTATCGTCTTCGTTGGGCTGCCGTCTGAGGGGGAGGAGAGTGAAGAGCTTTCGTGGCCATTTGACGATAGATAGTGAAAACTTTTAGCCGGAGGCGGATCGTCATAATTAAATGGATCCTTTGGCATGAATCTGTTACGTTTGAGATGGGTTTTCTTATTTCAGCTTGACAAAAAAATGCTTTGGTGGCAGAGGCGGAAAGCAGATGAGCAAGCAAAAATACTGACGGTGTTGACACATCGTCCGGATTCATTGAATTGCGATTGATCATGGTCACATCGCTTTGAGAGCTCATTCCGCTTATAGGCCTATAGTTGCTCAAGGCGCTACCTGGAAATCTGGGACCAGGTGTTGGTGATAGTAGAGAAGTGGTGACTGTAAGCGGAAAGTTTGGTAGAGAATGGGAAAAAAAGATATGCGGTTATTATGTATGACGGAACAAATTATACATAGGAGAAAAGTTGCGCAAGCAGGTTGTGGTAGCAGCAATTGGTCAAAAGAACAGCAAGTCCAAAGATTGTAGAAAACCCAAGGTTAATAGTGAGAAAAAATTGTGAGTATGCGTGGAATTTGAGAAAGAGTACGCAGTTTAGGGGTATTGTGGAGCCAGTCCAACGTAAAGCAGAAGAGTGTATGCGGTCGGCGGGAAAAAAAAGTGGGACGTGATTATGGATATTTGATGAAGTTTTGGGCGGCGTTTACGATTTGGGATGCATGTTGTCGAGTATTCGATGATAAAAAGGTGTTGTTACGAGGATGTTCCCAGTCATGTTGACGATCAGGTGCAAATGACCAAATGATGATGAAGTTTGTCCAGGGATGGAGATGTTGGGTAGGTGAGGAGAGATTGAATTGTATGATAATTAGTATCAACGTCGGTCGGCAGATTTTGAGAGATAGTCGGTAGTCCAGGCGTGATAGAGATGTATGGCAAGAAAGATAAAAGATCAGTACTTCGACGACGCCAGACAGATAAAACGAAGGGAAATTTCAAAAAATGACGCACCGTCCTCATCAGGGGGAGTCAAGCGGTTCCGCTCGACCATCGCCAATGGTGTAGACTCCGTCATGGCTAAGAAGCTAGATGCTCTGGAGGCAGGGAAGAGATCACTTGTGGGGGAATCACAATAAGAAAAGGATGCAAGTAAAGTTGGTAAACTCCAGCAAGTGTTTGTTTGATGAGATGCAGCTGATTTCTGCTGGTAAGGAAGAACAAGTTGAGGTTTGTGCTGGGTTGGAAATGCAACTGCGATGATAATCAAAACGTTGGTTGAACAGAGAGACGGTTTTGTGTGGGATGACTCGCTGTACTGAAGAAGAGAGTCACTGGTTTACCAATAGAAAGGAATTCCAGGTGAATAAGGGAAGGCAAGTGTTACCGCGATTACAGAGTAGAGAGTGATGATTACTACAAGTCCGGGCAATGTCAAGGACGGAGAACAAAAAGCTTGGGCAAGTATCTGAACCGGACAAAGCTGAGAAGGCAGAAGCACTGGAGCTGGTGTGGGTAAGTTGGGCTACGATGAGCTCCTGGGTTTTCCCTACTTCTTGACTCGACTTCGCTCAGCCATCCCTAGAGGGTGGTAGATTAATTTACAATTGCACCTGAACAAAGTCCCATGATTAAACCATGATCAGGCCATTGAACAGAAGGGGCGGAAGGGTTCAAAGCACACCGAACAACGCTACATCGTGTCTGATCGCACCAGCTCGAGCACATTGTCGTCCTCCCACTTTTGATCTTCACTTCGTCAATCGGCCTTCGGCCAGAGAACTCATTTATGACAATGATTCGATCAAAGCTATCGTAATACACGTACGTACATATAAAGTCCGGCTTGGCCTTTCTTGTCTCGTTCCCGTGGAAGTTATGTAGTGAGCTTATCGTGAGAGAATGTGACTTTGCACAGCGGCATCGGGCGCAGGTGAGCGCAGGTCCATAGATCCATGAACCAACAAAATGAGACTCATTGTCACAATCCATGAACAACGGTTTGAATGATACGGCACTCGTCCATGTCAATATTCAAAGGGGATGTGCAGTGAGATGCAGGAAACTGGCTTGGTCCCACATCAGCGGTGGACAAATCTGGGTTTTGTTCCTTCAATTTGTACGAAGAGATTCACTTGAGCTTGCAATGATGAGGTCGAATTTGCTTGTGTCAGTGTAAGGCAACAACTTTTGCTTAATAAACTACCATTTCACAGAAAGATTGATATGTATCTAGACTGTGGAATAAAAAATCGCTTAGTTCACACAAAGGGGATGAAAATTAATGGAAAGCTTGGCTTCTTAACTAATCTTTGCCTATGGATGGACACGGTGAATCATACTTTTTTCTTCCAGAGCAACCACGGCTAATCGCGCATACAGTCAGGGTCCTGGTTCTTGCTACTTCCTGGCTCAAGAAGATTCTCGTGCTCTTTCTCTTGTCGCCTTCGTCATTTCACCGACGCCAAGACGGCCCACAGTATAGTCCATAGGCCGGCCAACCTGTCCAACCATCACTTTAGTTGGCTGTGCAATAAATAACCTCCAGTCGTTTGCTCTCTCTCTCGTCATTCGAATATGGCTCTTCATTCGCTGACAACACCTCCTGAGAGGCGATTCTTCCTTGCTCTGCCTCAAGTCCATCAGCACCTTCGGTATTATCCGAATTTCACACCGCGTCTTTATCGGTGAAAGGTTGACACAGTCAAACTCAAAAAGTTTGCAACTTTGGCCGCGCATTCTGGGCAAGCTTTAAGTTTGTCCGGTAAATTGTACGCGAGAGCTTAAAGATGTGATTAACACTTGCCCCATGCAAGAATGAACCAGAATTGAGTCGATCTTGCTAGATCGTCATCTACATGGGATCATCCTCACTGAGCTTGAATTACTTACCAATCACTCATTCGATCCAATAAAAAAACGAAGTATCGCGAGCTCATGTGTGTTCAAAGACTAAAGAGAAGGCTGACATCATTCCGGGAGGCTCGAAATCAACATCACAGCTATGACTGGGCATATTTATTGAGGGGATCGAAAAGCGTTGATCCGCGACTTTGCGGCGTAGAGGAACCTGTTCCGGCCATTTGGTTGTCTGCGCCGAGGAACCTGCATATTACGCAGTACATCTTAAACATGTCAATTGATATTGTGATGAGACGATGACCTGACGATGCTGACATCTCGAGAAAAAGTGACTACAATATATTGATATCGTGCGCTGTGTATAACATCTTATTACTCTGATGTTTCCGAGGAGTTGTCAGTATCATCCATGAAAGCAAATCCATCAGCTTCCGCATCCTTCATGGTTTCCGAAATCCTACAATCAAGCGCACTGATCGCGTCGAACAGAATGTCACTTTGACCTAAGCACGCAACAGATCACAGTGCGATTCAACAATCGAGGTCAACCATCTTTCGAAATGTATGAAAGAGAAGGTCGTACCTGTCCTGTATATCTTGATCATCTTTTTGATTGGTTCTCGTACGCCTTTCCAATTATGCTGATCATCTGTTTTCCAATCCATAGCATTTAACCGCTCGTATTGAATCTCTAGCATAGACTTGAACAAGTCTAACGCGTTCAGTTCGTTCTCCCAGCTTATACGTGTTGACATACAATGTAGCAAAGTACCAGCTTCAGTTGATGGATTGCTGCTTTCCACAGATGAGAAAGCTGCTTCGATGATATCGAGCTCTTCTGGAGTGCTGGACACAAGCAACCTAAGCTGGGCTAGAAGTGCATTGGGAACAGGTTCTTTGATGGTTAAATTATGAAACAGGTGAGAGTCATCCAAACTACGAAGTACTCGCATTACTAACTGCCGCTCGCGATCTGGCGACTGTGGTATAGCAACTTTCAGAGAATAAAAGTCATCAGGGTTTGATGGACTGTCTTGGGGCCTCTTGGAAAGGTCCCAGTCCTTCTGCTCCAATGCAAACCCGTATCCCAGAATCCATTCAGCGGTGGATTTAGCCCCATAGTTATTGAAAACTTGAGAGCCTAGGTTGATTGAAAAAATGATCAGACAATGTTCGCAAGTCTGTCATAGCGATGAGTGTCCTGGAAACCTCACCTTGGCCAATCACATCTAAATTTACAATTTCAACGCAACTCTTTGGGTCACCTTGATGCCTAGAACGCCATTCAACTTTGACTCCTCTTTGGTGGTTCAACATGTCGACACCCGGGAGTAAAACCGGCACAGATTGTGATATTGAGTCCAGACTCATCGACTGATGTACATTGAATGACTGCTCAGTGTAGACTTGAGAGGTAGATAGGTCTCTTCTTCGGATACAAGGTTCCAAGAGCGTTGACGGGAACGCTCTCGATGAGATGATGGTGGACGCCCATAGATAATCCGAGCTGTAATGGTTGGACGCAGCGTCAGTGCTTTTGGGCCTCGATAGGTTGACCTTCCATACGTAGGAGCCGTTCGGAATGATGTGGATGAGAGAGTCGGTAGGTATTACCCTGCCAGACGACCCAATAGATAGATGTGTAGCTCCGGTACAAATGTCTTGATCTGACTCATTATATCATCAAATTCTACGCCCCAGTCGCGCCGACGATCAAGCGTGGCCTGATATAGATTGGTGTATCGCAGCTTCTCTAATTCGGTGGGACTCCAATACAACGGCGTCATCAGCGCTTGATCAGAAGGTAATAACGCGACGTATTGTTGATGGACATTGAATAGATCGCCCATGAGATCTGGAATAAGGATTTTGCCTGATCGTAGATGATTGTCTGCGTGTAGTAGTATGATGGAAACAAACGACTCTGTTCAATATTGGACCCAGTGTGATATAGATTGTACTTCTCTCACTCACCTCCGAGACACTCTGAACAGGACTTTGCTTCGTTTGTAAGGCGGGTGAGCAACAAGTAAAGACACATCACTTGATGATCTGACCAGGAAGAGGTCAGATTTTCCGACGACAGGCTACAAATGCTCTTCTCGATGTCTGATCGCTGTAGCACATCCGTAGGGTCTTCACTAGTTTTCAAACCCGCCAAAAGTTTGGAAATTCGATCTCGTGACTTGCGAGGCGTGATGGCAATGTCAATTGAGCAGCTGACGAGTGAGGTATTCGGATCAATCGATTCATCTGTGTATATGCACCAACCCATCTTGCCCTCGCCTGTAAAAAGTGACCCCAACCGGGCTTTGATGAGATGACGAAACGCAAAGCAAGACTGAAGTGATCTGATCCTCAACTTCGTGTCGTCGTTTCCGTTTGCAAGTCTTCTGACAAAATTAATGATGAATGAGATTTGTTCCCTGTTTGAATTAGCCATGATCCCAGATGACTATCTGAAAACTTCATTTTGGACGCGTCCGACTGGTTATCAAGAAAATGGATTTGATTTAGAGGGAGGTTCGTTCACTGAGACTCTGTCGGTGCTCTGCCACATGCTGCTGAACTTGCTCAGCTGTTTTGGTTTCAAAAATTTGTGTGTATGTAATGCAGTTTGTGTAAAAACATATTGCACCATAGAAAGCCTAGTACTGAAATCGTCACATTGTGAGGAACATGCTCAGGACCCCGGAGAGCGCCTATCGAGGCACACAATGTAAAAATCTTTATTCTCTTATGTTTGCTGTGAAGTGCTGTGAATTTCATAGCTCAAAAAAGGTCTTCACACTTGTATGGCTATGGATTTCAAAAGTGACAAAGCCCCTTGCTTCTTGCTGGGCCTTGTTGAGGGAAGTGCAAGGGACTGTATCAAGTTTTTATGAATGGGGTAGGTGATTTTTACACAGACTCGTTTACACCGGATCATTCTGTGTAAAACCGAGTCGGTGTAAAATTCCAAAAGGTGGCCGGGTTCTTAGAATTCTACACCTCTCTCGATTTTTTTTTGTCTGTGTTAAAAAAAACAGTGTAAAAAAAACAGTGTAAAATTCTTGTGGCCGGTGGCGAGTGGCACGGCTGTGTAAAAAAAGTCAGTGTAATAATCACGGGCCCCGACCCGAAGTGTATTTTTACACCGAACCGGCTACACCGAATTGCCATGTGTAAGATCTGGTCGGTGCAAAAATCCCATTCTGCTGAGCTCACCTTCAATTTTACACCAATGTTTTACACCGCATCTGACCGACACTTCAACGCACAAACTTCAGATGATGGAATGCCTGAAGGATACCACACAACCCAAACATCAGACGTATATACCTGATGTTTGGCATGGTATCAAAGGCATGCAAAAGCCTTTCGAAAAAAATGAAATGCCGCCCTTTCACCATTCCCACATTCCCACATATCCACATATCCATGGAGTGGAGGCCCACGTGATATGATTACGGTTCTGATCATATGAACAGAATCAATCCGGATCGGAAATAGGAATTCCAACCACTTTCGGATCGCACGACGAACATCTCAAAGACTTCTCGCTTTTGTTGACAACCATTTCTCGGTTTTGACAACCTTTAGTTCCTAGTCTCTTCTGATCTTGACTCAAATCATTTCTTGATGACGCTTTCGTCCTTTCCTATTGGTTACATTTAAAGCATCCCTTGACGCTTTTGTACTTTCAACTTGGTTTCTATCACTTCCACCATGGGGCAGACATTCTCCATTAGGGCGGTTCAAGTAGCCTCTTTACGACCCAAATTAGAAATTTCAATTTTGTTCGGTGCCTTAAAATTATACGTAAAATTTTAAGGCCGCGAGCCACCTTTAGAGGTGGCTTGCTGTTTTACAACTCACAATTTGGTGTTAAAAATTTTACAGCTTTTGCCTGCTTGCAGCAAGCAAGGGTTGAAAAAAAGGTTTTTTTTTCCTGCTGTTTGTGCCTTGATGTATTTTTTTTCGTATGTTTGTGCCTTGCTTTAACGTTAATTTTTTTGCAAAAACTTTTAATTAATTTTTTTGGGGGTTGTTGCCCCTGCTTTACCGGCTCTGACCTATGTAGCATGTTTGGTTTACCTGCTTTGGGTTATCATCGCTTTCACAACTTCTCCTCCTCAAGTTTCAGCTCATCGGTCAGAGTTTCATTTCTCACACAGCAAGCTTCAAAGTTGGTCTTTCAATCTCAACTTGGAGATTTTGAAGGGTATCATCAAGGGCGACTGACATATACCTGTGTTTGGATATTTCGATAACAGCCCAATTCCGATCTCGCAGACTTGAAATCGGACATCAATTGTTAGTGTTCAGCGTCAACGTTCCTGCTCGGACATCTCTGGATGCTTTGATTCCCCTCATTCTTTTCCAGGATACGTCAAGCGCATACCCGTCCACCGATTTGCAAACGACCTTTGATATATAAGATCTTCCGCTTGTTGAGGAAACCAGTTTGCTCACTTCACCACCGAGAAGCCCAATTCATTCACCTTTTGTCTGACCTATTAGTTTATTCACCTTTTGTTTGACCTAATAGTTTGAAGGTCTCGTGGTTTTCTTTACCTTTGTAATAACTGACTTTCCGCTGGTATCATAAGACGCTGATTAACACATGTTTCTGTTTCTGCTTCGTTGTTTTTGATTTTATCATATCATCATCTCCAGGATCTTCTGCTCTTGCACTTTGATTTGCTCTGTAGGGTCATCTGATCTTCGATATCGAGTGCGCATTGTGTGCTATTAAGTAGTAGGTCAATTTGCCCTTGTTGTGAGACCGTTTGCTTCTGCAATACTCAAGCTAATAACAAATCATGTGGTCCTTTCTTTCCAGAACGACTTTTTGGCCCTGCTTAAACTCAAATGGTTGCGTCACCAAGATCTTCCCCGCGGAGGTCTCCCAATGGCGCGCGTCGGCCTCGACGCACAAAGGCTCAGATCGCCGCCGACTTGGCTTTATCTGGCCATGTGGTTGGCTCGAAACCTAGTGCTGCAGCCGTGAAACGTTCCCGAATTGCTGCCAAGAAGCGAGCCGAAAGAGCCAAAACCGCGAGTAACCTCAAACGGTCCAACATGGACAGCCCAGCATTTGAGTTATTGGATTACAAGACGATACTTGCTTACCTCGCCAAACCCAATGTGCTCAACTCTCTATTCGGCGTTGGCAGTCAAACCAAGGTAACCGGTATGCCGATGAGTCCAAAGACCCTTCTCAACATGCTAGCGATCAAACTCAACAACAACTTCAATGAGCGTCACAACACGACTGACATGCACCTGACTGGGCGGACCCTCCTCCTGCGACTCAGAAGATACAAGGGTAAGTACCAAGCCGCCAAAGCTTTCAGCTCGAAGACTGGCGCTGGCCTCGAACCCAAACACCACGCTCGAGGGATTCACACCATGGACGCCTTATTGGAATCAATGTGTCCATGCTATCCAGAAATGGATGCGCTTTTCCGGGACAAAGGAAACGTGAACCCTTTTGGTATCCTTGACACTGGCCTTGGCCCTCAGGAGGAAGAGTCTGACGATGAGTTCAAGAGTCACGGTGATACCACCGATGGGCATGACCACTCTCATTCCGCTCTCACAACCGGTCAGTTCCAAATTGGCACCGATCTCTAACGATCTTAAACTAACAAACAACACTCCTCAAATGCCTTCCAGGTACACAAACCGCTTTACCACGTCGGCTTCCAAGCGAAGGGTTTGGGGGCGTCTTTGACACTCGTCCTATGTCACCAGGTAGCCCAGTACCTCCCACGGAAACCATTGGAACGCCTAATCCTCTCAACGCCCATTATCGCAGGTTCCTCGAGAATGAGGCCTCCACCCACTCCCAAAGGTGGTGACGTAGAGGACTCGCTTATTCTACCTGTGATCCCTCCAAAAACACGTGCTACCGCGACTGTCACGGCTCGCTCCAAATCTTCTTCTGGTAAACTCGCTCTCAACGCCGAAGATCAAGCTTTGAATTCAGACGATTCGGTTGGTCTCCCTCGTGTCACGCAAAAGAAGAAGGGTACCGCTTATCCGAAGAAGAGGTCCTCTGGCAAGTACGCTCTCACGGCGGAGGAACGAGCTTTGGATTCCAGCTCCGATGATCAAGCCAACCCCACGACAACAGTGCCCGCGACTCAAGCCAGTGTTCCCCGCGGTTCTCGCCCAACTCTCTCTCGTCGAGGTCTGGATCCTCTTCCGTCTATTGACCCAGCCAATATCCATGTGAAAGATCAAAAACAAGCTCTAGCAACTGCAATACAACAAGCTAACGAAGCAAAATTGGAGGTCATTGCGAAAGCTCAAGATTGGCGTCAAAATTACGACCAAGCCCGAATGAAGGCGGACGAAGCTAGACTGCAAGCAGAAATGGACGATCACAAATCTACTCTGAGCTGGACTAAAGAGCGTTACTTCCTCGACCGTGAGGAGCAATGCGAATCTGAAGCCAAGAGATTAGCTCAAGAACTTCGCAAGGAACGCAAGTCTTTTTGTGAGAGGTTGGTTTTGGAAGGAAAGACTCCCCAAGAATTGGAGGCCTTCCTTCGTCTTATTTACCCTGACGATGTACATGTATAATTTCATGTAAGTCACTCTGCCATCCACTTTCTCGTACTTGAGATCGAGAAAGCTGAGCACTTTGTACGCACTTTGTACTTCTGTAGGTAGCCTGTGATACCGCTTGAAATGTCCTTCCGCTTGAACCTGTTTTTATCTTCTGTACACGCTTGTCCTCCTGTGTTTATTTTTCTGCCTCTTTTGATCTTGTGCGACTCGCCTGTCATACCGCTTGAAATGTCCTTCCGCTTGAACCTGTTTTTATCTTCTGTACACGCTCGTCCTCCTGTGTTCATTTTTCTGCCTCTTTTGATCTTGTGCTTCTCTGGAACCTGTGTTCTTCTTGTCCTCCTGTGCGATTTTTATTTCATCAGTGTTTGTCTTCTTGTCTTATGTACTGTCTTATGTACACGCTTGCTTCATGATGTTTGTCCTGGTTATGGTGGTTTGAACGGTCATGCGTAATAGGAGGAAACATATTCTTCTCTGTATAACATACAAGCGACTGTCGGTCACAGAGGGAGAGAACACCATCTTGAGATGAAACATATCCATCTTATTACAACATAGAAGCTTATTACAACATAGAAGCTTATTACAACATAGAAGCGAGCATATTTCTCATTTTATATCTAGTTCCGACTTTCTCGTTTGCTCAGATCAGACGAAACACTTGCGAGTTGGGTAAGTTGGAAACACACGCCAGGGTTAAAATTTCATACGTAAACTGCACAATAACGAACAAAACAAATAGACAAATAAGACAGGCAAACAACAATCAGATGAGAACGAGGAGATAAAATAAAAATTTGGCAGTAACCACGAGCTACAGATCAAATCAGCGTATGTCATCCACCATTTGCTTTTTGGTATCAAAGCCTGTCGGCTTGTCTTTCTTATACGACGTGTTGCTGCCTTCAGCCATATGGTCAAGCTCTATCCAACGATCATTGAACATCGTGAGTTTGAAGTTTAAGTCTA